TTCTACCCCATTCCTAAATAGTATCCTTTTTGGTCAGACATATCAGCAGTCTTAGACATATTTACGAAAATAGCTGCATAGACCAATAAACTGTCGGGCTTCGTGCACGTTTTTGGGTGGCAGAAATTCTTTAACTGCCTTGGATTTTGCTTTTCCAGGCCGTATACCTGTAGTACTGATTTTGTGACCAAGGTAGTCAATTTTTGTCTGGGAAAGCTGACACTTTGTCAGCTTGAGCCCAACTCCCGCCTTTCTAAAGGTTTCCAGTACGTCGCCCAGAGCTATAAGACCCGTCAAAAAAAGGTACCCATATGTCGTCCATGTGGGCTTATGCTGTGGAAAACCTAATGGATCCTAAGATCGTATTTATTGTTCTTTGAAAAACTGCGGGTACATTGACCAACCCAAAAGGCATTCATACTGCCCTTCTGGTGTTACGAATGCTGTTTTATGTCTCGAATCCTCTGCCACGGGTATCTGACATCTAATGATATCCACTAGCCATATCAAGTGTAGTGAAATAATTGCAGTTTTTCAAAATTTCTAAATGATCATCTACTCGTGGTAAGGGGTGCGAATCTCCTACAGTTTTTGAGTTCAATTTTCTGTAATCCACACATAGTCTTGTTTCGCCGTTTTTCTTTCCAACAAGTACTATCGGGCTTGCGAATGGGGAATTTGACTCCTTAATTATATCAGCTGATAACAGGAAACCAACAATTAAGCCCGGGACACATCTATCATGCATTCTTCCGATCCTACTCCGATCATACAATTAGGGTTTTCATTCTTGGAACAGGGAGCAGCGTTCGTATGCGTTCTCCTGGGAACGCTGCTCCCCTGTTCCAAGAATAAGGACCTTGATTGTATGATCGGAGTCGGATCGGAAGAATGCATGATAGAAGCCAGGGACACATCTATCATGCATTCTTCCGATCCGACTCCGATCATACAATCAAGGTCCTTATTCTTGGAACAGGAGAGCAGCGGAACACTCGTTCTCCTGGGAACGCTGTTCCCTGTTCCAAGAATAAGGACCCTGATTGTATGATCGGAGTCGGATCGGAAGAATGCATGATAGATGTGTCCCGGGCTAGATGTGTCCCGGCCTTTTCTCGTACTTTTTTCCGTTCGTTATATGAGAGGCGATAAGGCCTCTGTACGTTACAGGTTTATCGTTTGTGACTCGTCATCAGGAGCGCAGGCGCAACCTCGTGCTACAACCTCTCCTTTTCCAAACTGAATCGTGTTGTTAGAAATATTCAAAACTTGAATGGAAACAACACACCTTGGAAGGATGTTTTCTCTCATAGGCTCGTATCAATGTTTCAAATTCGAAAATATATCGCCAGCATAATCAGTCTCCTTGGATACACAACTGATCAGTCCAATAGGATTTGGGGCTATTTCACTGCCCGTTTCTGCTAGAAGTGTAATTGGGGGTAAAATGTCAAGCTGCGGTAACTCGATCAATTCCGAGTTGAAAAATCGAGCAGTAGCATTTCGTAAAACTGTAACTGCGTTATGCTTATCCAGTACCGATCGTCCACTCAGTACAGCCATAGTTTGTAATCTGTCTGGAACAATAAAAACGGGAACTTAAGGTGCACGTTACTCGTACACAAAGCCTTGGATACGCCGCCACCATAATCTTTTAAACATATGTCACACTTAGACCAGGTTAAACTGGCTTTTTGGGCTTCGCTTTCCTTTATGGAAACTACTTCACACCCTGAATCTACAAATACTTCTTTATCATAGCCATTTATTGAACAGCTTACGTAATACCCATTGCTCTTGGAAGTTGAACTATAACATTGCATATCATGGTTTTGCGAGTTGATGTAGGCGCCTTTTTTCTAAAACAGTTAGTCGCTAAGTGTCTAAGTTTCTTGCATATTGTACATTCTAGTCGTGGTTTTGGACAGTCAAACTGTTTATGTCCAAATTCTTTACAATTAAAACACTTTCCCATTCTTAGATTACGCTTCTGCTTTGCCTTTTCATTTTCTTGCTGTCTCTTTGTAGACTCAGGTCTTGCAGGTTCACGTTGAACTGTACAAGTCAAGGTAGCCAAGTAATCTTTGTATAGATCTTCAGGTGTTCCATACTTACCAACTCTTGCTCTAGATTATTTCGCATTATCTTGAATGCCTGATGGTCAAAAAATGCTTTTATCAGAAGATTCTTCCATTGATTCCAGGTATATTTATAGCTATCCAGGTTATTATACCGCGTTTTGGCTAACCCAGATAAACGTGACTGTAGATTTTTCATCCCAATGATTTATTTGAGCTAGTTGATCGATTTTATCAAGCCATTTCCCACAATTTTCACCTTGAATCGCCGGATCAAATTCTGGTATGCAATCTGGTCTAATAGAAACCCTTGTAGTATTTCGTCCGATGTCTTTCTGTAATAATTGGTTCACAAGGTCGGTCTTCTAACTGTCTTATTCTCGTTTGTTACTCGATTAATCTAAGATTAAAACCAACTCTTGGGCTTACGTTTACATCCGTAATTAATTAAATTACGTGAAATGCTGCGCGTAACGTTTACGTCATCAGCTCTATTTGTTGGTTGCCTTGAAGTAGAGTCACTTCGAAAGTTTGTTGTGCTTGTTGTCACAAGAGACTTGGATGTATTATGTATAGCAACTTTAACATTATCTAAGGGACGATTGGAAGAAACTAGAGTTTGGTTTCTCTCTCAAGTCGGCGTATAGCTTCTCAAACTTTCACTCATGTTTTGAGTTTGTGTTGTACCATACTTATTGGCACGTTTTTTGTCTCTTTTGTAACGGCCACGGTCGCTACTCGACGAACTGATGGAAGAAGTCATGGAACTTCTTGATCTTTGACGTTTTGCACGCTTTTTTCCCAGCACCACTTCAAATTCTAAACTTTAAAATTGAACAATAACAACAACAACAAAAGCGGAGTGAGTCTCTCCCGACGCTGCTTTGTGATAAGAATGATGTTTCCACCAGTCGCAATATTCTTTTTTTTTTAGTACGAAGTACGACCTAAAGGTGGCTCTACATCTACAGCTTTCAAAACCCATTGGCTAACCAAAATTACTTGCGAACTAGAACTACAGATTTTAGATAAAAGTTTAATTATATTTTCAAATGAAGCAGAACTAAAATAAAAAAAGATGAGAAGATAGATAGCGATAAAACACAATGAACAGACTTTAATAATAAGAAAGTGATTACCTAATTTACAAAACCCTTTTCTAAATAGCAAAATGTTAATCCCATTAACAAAATATAAAGTGGTTTTAATTCTAGTAGTAGGTAATTAATAGGGAAACCCAAAATGTATTAATTTCCTGAACGAAACTCTATAACACACCTTGAATATCAATGAACTATTGAATTTGCATTTTGGGATCCGGTCTTACATTGAAAGCTAAAATATAATGTTATAAACTCCTCCTTTTATCTGTATAGAAATCTATATAGGCACATGCACAAAGCCTCATACTATTAAAGCCTCATAACTATTAATTGGCTTGTTCAATAGAAACTCGTTAGCTTTTATTCAAGTAAAATTGCATTTAAAAAGATTTAAAACTTCATTTCATGGTAGTGTAAGTTCGACACATAAAATACTCTTTGAAATATTTGAATCTTGAAAATGTTACAAAGAGCTACAGAAAACGTTTCGTTACAAAAGAACTTTAAGAATACAAGAAACTCTGAATTCAGGATTTACGAAATTTTAATAAACTTTGCTACAAGCGTGAGAAAACTCATTGCCTTTGCAAATAATCAAAAATTAAATCTCCAATAATTCACATCAGTATCAATGAATTGAAAATGAAACAAATTAGCGTTGACCCCAAATTAATTAAAATATTTAAAATACGTTCAATTTCTAATAGCCTGTCATCAAGTTAGTTGAACTCATAAATCAATACCCGGAAAAGATTAAATACAAGGTTAGGTACCTACTTAAATTAGGTCCCAAAATGACAGAAATTTCAAAAGATCGTATAATTTATTGCTGCTGGCACAAGTCGGCTTTTCTTTGAATTAAGAGTCCTCTATATTTTTTTCCATTTCATTTACCCCAAATAATCATACAATTTCGACACGGATTTCATCATCATCCGATGAGTAAGTTAAAATTTTTGGAATAATATCTAGGTCGACCAATAGAATTGAATTACAGATGGTCAAACGATTGCCCATATTGTCGATTTTGGTGGGTAAATAATAGTATAAAAAGGGCGACCGTTCAAGTAGAGAGGAATCATCAATCAATTATCGAGAAGTAGACTCAAATAGTATTCAGAAGTGGCGAATTATCTCAAGTATAAAAAAGTTGGGCCTTGGGCAAAGTAAAAATTACAGTAAATAACTCGAATTAGGAAAGAAGTAAACCTTTCAGTTTTTATGTGTGTTTGAGTAAATATTAATTAGAACAATTAAGTGACTTTCAAGGGCGATAATTTTAATGTAAGTACTGTAGTGACAAGTCTTATTTTGATTTTATCAATGTTGAAATGACTATGAAGTGAATTGACTATGAAACTTTATTCCATAAATATTATTAACTTTTTTTTATAAGTGAATTGACTTTGATATTTTTGTACTTAGTATAGATAGAAAAATTTAATTCAAATGACTGTTAATTGAAATGAATTTTACTGAATTTGTACCGTTGTTATAGGAAATGAAAATCTGTTTATTTTCTTATTAATAAAGTATAATTATTAACGGATAACCATATATCACTGTTGTTTCTTTCAATTGCAAATGGTCCCGTCCCCACAATTTAATTTTTCAGTAGCTGCCTAAAGAAATAATTACCATCAAATACGACCGCTCGCAATTTACCATCTAACCTAAATAAAAGAGTACTTGGCGCGGATGCTACATTACGTATACCTGCACCAGAACTATCACCCTATATAACTCTTGTTTCACGAAGTCCTTATGAAAGAATTATCACTATTATTATTATTTTAAAGATATCCTTTTTTATTTCTAGGTTTATCTGGAAAAGAACTAACTTAATCAAGGGAGGCAGCGAAGCTGAAATTCAATGGAACATCGTTGATGGCAAAGTAAATCCAGGCATTCACAGAATTCAACATTTTGGATACCGCAAGTACATTCTTGGTGGAATCTATCCTTACAGTGGCACAAGTAAAAGTTTTGAGGTTACCTCAACGTAGTAAAAATAATTTTTAGATTCAAGTAGGTAGTAGAATAATCCAACAATTACAAATCGTTTTCCTTAAATAATTCCACGCCACAGACGGCAATATAATAAAAACTTTCGCTCTACCAAAACTTTCAGTCCTGCTATCAAGTCAAGACCAGGAACCAGGAAGGACATTCTGGAAGTTATTGAAAAAGTTTGTTATAAGATTAGTTGGAACACTTTGCCATATTACTCAGATTAGTTTTTATACAGGAAAATTAATGACTGCTATTTTAAGAAAAATATAATGTAAATAAATCTTGCCAAATAAAATCGATATTTGATAAACAGAGTGTTTTAGTCCCAAGTGAATAAAAAAAAGGAGAGGAAGCTTCCATATTCTAAACATCATCAATCTTATAGAAATCATAAAACCTTTTTTCTGCGATTGACAAGAAATGTCAGCATTTTTGACCGGTTGACAGGTCGCAAAACTCATTATTCTGGTATTTCAATTATGTTTCAATAGTTGCTAAGGAATCAATGAATAACAATACAGAAAACACTTTTCCGGCCTAGGCCGGGAAAGTGATTCTCGTACTGCTGAATAATTGGAACTAAAAGACAAACATTTAACAGGTATTGAACCGATCGCAGAAAAAATAGTATGTGTATTTCGGTGGAAAAGCACATTCTCGGCCTTCGGTGTTTGCCGGCCTCGGCTACGCCTCGCCCGTCAACTTACGCGGTCGGCCGAGAATGTGTCACTTTTCCACCTAAATACACAATATACTATTAATGGAATTATTCTCGAATCAAGACAATAATTACATTATCGAAATTGCATCCAGTCAATGGGGCATTTGTCGTTTCTGATTATTCTGATAACAGCTGACAGAGTTTACAAACATTCCAATTTGCTCTGTGGTTGTATTTACAAACTACATAGTTCATTGTGCGATATATTGCCAATATCATTGGCATATTAGCAAAAATTGTAAGGTTATTAGAGATCATTTTTATCCCAGACAGTATAAAAATTTTACTATCGTTTCTGCCGACTAACTCAATTAGCTCCAAACGGTCTCCTAAAAACGATCCTATTTATTACCAATAAAATATGAGAAGAGGCCAAATAGTTCATTCTTCCCATTATAACTAATATTTGATGCATTTAATTAATTTTCCAACATATTGGGGTTTAATAAAGCGTATCCAACTCTCCCACTCTAATCTCATAATCCTATAAAATTCAATAACCCACGTTTTGATCATAGAGACAGAATAATTATAATAGACAAATCCTAATATTGACTAGAGCTTTATTATAGTAGGTAGTTATGGGCAATTATATTTCAAAAGCTATAACTGGGAAAATATTTGATGCATTAAGTTATTCAAGCAAATGTTTCCAACTTTTTAATTTTCAATGGCACGTGCCTTTTCTGTTCAAGGTGATAAATCAATTCAATATAACCTAGTTATTTTAATTGGAATCTGTTTTCCGTTTGATGTTTCTATACCCTTTGGCTACTTACAAATAGGCCCTTGAATTTATCTACCCTACTCTGAATTTTCATTTGAATAACTTGAGGGTCTTCTACTGTCAAAATAATTATCTTTTTGTCAAAGGTAAGTATTTATAATTTTTTGAAAATATTCGTTTCACATGACACCTTATCATGTTTATAACCACGACATCGTCACTCTAGGGAGTCGCTGCAAAATCGAATCGGTTACAGTCTTCGAAATGCCATTTTTTTTTTTATAAAATCAAATTTGTATGAATATCATGTGCCTGAATATTTTCTATTAAATTCAAACCAAATCAAAGGGATCTCGAGTTCAATGAAGTTCAATCACGTTGGAGATTATTTTGTCTAGTCACGAGAATCTTATTAGACTTTTAGGACGTTGATTTTTAGCAAAAAACACCTAGATATATACATATAAATAAAATAATAAAGTGAAAATTCTATGCTCCCAGATTCCAGATTGCAAAGACCAATCCCTATTAAGGTTGGTCCTCACTCCTTATTCACAGAGAAACTACGCATGCTTCACTGTCAAAATAATATTTGCAACAATACAAAAAATATAATGACAAATAAATAAAGCTGTACAGGGAGAGTCGTTTTTATTTGTTATATTGTGAGTTATGTACCTATATTTCAACTTCCTACCGACACGCCGAAGTTTGGTATCCACTCCAAAACTATTCGGAACTATCTCTAAATTTATGGTAAGTTTAGCAGATGCACTTCCTGTTAAATCCTGCACATGCAAATTCAAATATTTCGTCGCTGCATAGATAAAATAATCCACAAAAATTTATTTTCACTCGAGTTTACACAATGTTACAACGGGTTGATTAAGTAAAATACCGGAAGTCGCTTGTCGCTACATAGCGACTGCTTCTTAATTAACGATAGGGTTATTTAATTTTCCCTCTTTAGTTACTACTAAACTGAAACTAAAATCCGGAAGTTACTTCGGAATTCGGAAACAAGCTACAATATCGCTATATAAAACCCAATTTGTTTTCAAACACGTGGGCAAGCCAAACAGGTAGTAGAGAGGATTTTAAAATCAACGAAGAATATTAAAATTAAATTGTGTATTTGCAAAAATACTGGGAAACACAAACATAACTAATTAGTGAGCCACTTTTTGGTTTTCATTTTAAAGATATTAATTTGTATGGATTTCCCAAAATTCTTGTACAATATATTGTGAATCATTTTTGAATTTTATGTTCTACTAGCTAATGACGTGCTGCGTTGCCAGCGAGAAAATACATTTTGAAATAATACACTTTCTTTCAAATTTTGTTGTTGATTCTCTAAAAGTTTTTTTTTTATCCGATACCAGAGTCGCTTACCAGTGAGTTCAGTGACGCATTTTAAGCACTCCAGAGCTGCTCTAGAGCGTCCCGGGCTGTTTATAGGCTTTCCAGTGTATCAGAGTTTCGCGCAACTGATTTTTTTTTTTGGGATAAATAATAGCCTATATCACTCCCCTCTATAGCCGAATCCGATTGACCGGATTTGATCGATCTGGTTCAATTTAAGTGAACCACACTGTGTCCGATTGAGGTTGGATCAGTGCACCCTCATCAACAAAAAAAATGATCTAGGTCAGAAGAAGTTCACTTAAATTGAACCCAAATCGATCAAATGAAAGTCATTCGAATTCGGCTTATACAGAGATACGTGGTATTAAATTCAAGATCGGTCCAGCCGTTCTCGAATTCAAAAAATAATAAAGTTACGTCGGTTGAATGCGCAAGCCTAAATAAATGAAATGTGGCAACGTTGTTTCATGTTGTCAAAAAAAAGTTGGGTTATGTTGTTATGTAATATGAATGAGTTTATAATTAAATGAATAATTAATTCGAAGTTAATATCTTTTTCCGAGGTGCGTAACCTATTCACAAACCTTCCTTGGGATGGCCATAACAACCTACCAAAGTTTCATCGTAATCGGATAAGTGGTGTAGGAGCGCATAAGGCACAAACAAGCAAGCAAGCAAGTAAACAAACAAACATTGATTTATGTATATATAGATGACTACTAGCCCGGGAGTACATACAGGCGTGTCGGTCAAAAGGACCGAGCATTGATAAAATCAGTAATTACGCCACTGGTACAAAAGTGGCAGTTTTGTCCATCTAAGAATGCCTGATGCAGGTTTTCCACTACCCATTGGCCCCCCATTTGTTGAAGTATAGTTCGTTGTATCTAAAATATTTGTGTTCAAAATCGCCATTTTCTTATATTGGGAGTACCTTTGGCAGTGGATAATACGGTAATTCGTATGGGCGTTTTCGATGGGCCACCCTCTGTATATAATCTATTTCAATCGATCCTTCTTTGACTTTCTCATGAATAAAATGATACCTAACATCTATATGTTTTGATCTTTTGTTAAATTGTCCATTTTTAATGATTCTGATTGCACTTTGATTATCTAATATCTAAGAGAACAGTTACATTTTTCAAAAACCTGCTTCCTAAAAGAACTTTCAAGTACAGTACCTATATTACGCTTTCAGCTGGGGCGATACGTTCAGCTTCTCTTCTACTCAATGCTGTCACTGGTTGTTTTCTCATTTCTGGAACACCAACTTACTGGAATTACAGTAGAATACTTCATAGCCAGTAGTGCTCTTTTCTATCTCTTTATCCTCTGCAGCACGTGGCTAATCTGAACTTTCTCTGTACTCAATTGGATCTTTCTTGCGTTTTTGAGGATCGGGTTCCGATTTTGGTTAAGTTTTAGTGTTTCTTCTTACCTGTTGAAGTATGTTTGTGGATTTCTTTAGCTTCACGTACAACACGATTGTGGTATCCAGAAGTCGGTGCAAGAAGCTTGACATCACCAAATAGTATTTCGTGACTCCCTTCACTAAGCGCATGTTCCGCCACTGCTGATTTTCCCGATTATCTTAGTCTGAGTTTCTTTTGTGCTCGTTGATCCTGTTTCCTATGAATCTTTTTGTTGTTCCTATTTATACCGTACCACATGTGCATCGTATAAGAGAGACTCCAGCGCTTGACAGTGGGTGATCTGATTGATTGCTATATTTTACTTGTTGACTTAAAGATCGTTTGTATGTTGGGTTTCTTCAAGTCTTTCCCTTTCCTGTCTTTCAACCGAGAAATGAAACGCAGATATGCATTAGCCACTGGTTAGCGCGAGCTATAATTCCACGTTTTTGCCTTGAATGGTGGTTTGAGAGTGCATTCAGGTACCTGTCTGTGTGTGTGGGTTTTCGGTCGCCTACTGGTGGTCGCAGGAAATTGTGGACTTGAGGAGGACATGTGTGGAGACGAGAAGAAAAATGACAAGGAGCCACCGAAGAAAGAACTCGGACCAATACGAGAGAGTCAAGGGACAGTACATCATAAAACAAAAAAAGGAACTATCCATTGTCATCGGCATTGCCAAGAGAAAGTGCTGGAAGCTGCTATGCGAGGAAATCAACGAACAATGCTAAGGAGACGGCTACAAAATTACCACCAAAAGACTCGAAATGAGGTCAGCGAGCCGGGAACTAACAATGGAGACTGCCATGCAGACAGCAAAAGAGCTCTTCTCAGTACGCCCGGAGACGACATGGCCGCAAAGCTCCCGAACTGGATGGTATACCGGCCGACATTATCAATTATCAAAGCAACCGCACCTAAATTCCCGGAACTCTTCTGCGAAGTACTCGATAACATAGTAAAGTGCGGAGAAATCCCGGAACTGTGGAAGAGGGCCAAGCTCGTTCTCATCGAAAAGCCGAAAAAGGAAGATACTGAAAAGTAGAAATATAGACCTTTATGCCTGCTTGACACTCCCGGG